TGTTCATTGTTGTACGATTCTCCGTTTATGGAATAAACTTCACAAGATCTAAAAGGTGTCATCTGGATCGAGTCACTGCCAGTGTTATTCAACTAAGATTGGAGTTATCGCTATCTCATCACAACTGTAAGTTACAGAGATCACACTTTCTATGCTTAGATTAGAGAGACAGAACAGTGCCTGTGTGTCCAAATACAGTATATATGGACCTAAACTGTATGTGCCTAATAGTTTATGCTGTGCATGCGTGCTGTGATCCACTGTAAAACGCCCTGCGCTTGCTTTTTTTTTTTTATTTCCTTTACCTGAACATGATACTTTATTTAACGCTATGTGTGCCAGCATGCTGTGATGCATTTTAGGGCATATAACACATTGCACAGTGCAAAAATGAAATATTTTACTTTCTTTTTTAATGCATGTCATCATGGCTCATTGCTGTGAAGTAAGTCTACTAATTTTCACTTTCCTTTAACAAGGTAAGTTGTATGGCAAAAGAAGTAGCTAGAAGGTTGGAGGGCAAGTGGGTGCTACTGTTCAGGCATCCAAGCGGATTCCTTGGGATCCTTCCAGAGTCTGAAGTTTCTACAGCTGATATCCCACTGTAAGCTGACTCTGGGTTACAGGAGAACAAAAGTAAGTATACTCATGTAACCCTGTACTCCTGTAAAGAGAAGTACGGCCAAAACCTCCTTTGGCCGTACTTCTCTTTTAAAAATATTTTCCAACGTAAAAGCAGACTTTGTGCAGTAACCATACATTTAGAATTTCTCTGCACCAGCACAATCTCCTTTTTCTTAAAACATTCTTAACTTTCAGCTTTGGGGAATCAAGTGGCTTCCCTGTTTGCTCATGTGAGTGCAGGTCTTTGGCCGAGTGCTGTCACTCTGAGCAGGGAGACAGTTCTTAACCCTGTGCAAACTCCAATTAGGGCTGGATCTCCAACTTGGAGTGCTGCTCAAAGCACTGAAAAACTTGCCCATGCAGTCCAAGGCACAGGTCGGGTGCAGACGTTTAAACATGCCCATCCAGGCTAGCAGAAACAGAACAGAAAACAGAAGGCGGAAAATGTTTCAAATAAATAAACATGGTATCTGACAAAGCCCAGATCTTTGGAATAGTTACAGGCTGCAAATATTTACAGGGGATGTGGTGTGAACACTGCAATATTTCACTGCCACGCGCATTTTCACACTTAAAACGGGAGGTTGCCTAAGAAGAAAAAAAACAAAAAATAAATTGCGAGCAAGGAGGGTTTTTTTTGCAGAAGACGCATGATATGACTCTTCTACAATAAAAATGAATGTACACTGAGCTCGCCATGCCCTGCTGTACATGGACGTGGAAGCTAAGACATACTGAGCAGGTCAGTCAAAATAGTGTACCCAGAAAAAAAATGGGTGATTATGTCGGCGCCAGCCAGAAAGTGCAAGATGTCAAATAGCTGAAGGAGTATCCGCAAGTACCCGGTCTCCAATGTAAGAAAATGCAGGTAAAAGCAAAGAGAAATAAATTATCTTAAATGCCTACTTGCGTCGTTCTTCTTATCAACACATTTTTTATTCACTTGCACAAGTCCCTTTGAACATACTAGAAAATTTGACTACTAAAAATTGGTCAGTTCTCTAGCACAGTCTTTTATGCAGCTGCTGGGGAAGAAGTGAAGCAGAATACTATTAAGTGTAACACGAATGACAGTTCTGTGTCTGTCAGAGCTGCCAACATCACATCCAAGATGGTGGAACCCAGCAGCAATCTTGAGCTTTTGGATCTTAACAAAGGAGGCTTCTACAGGTATTAAACATTCATAAAACATGTTAAATGCACATCTTTTGGTAAGATTTCCTTTTTTAGTTTTAACTTAGAATAGGTTACAGAATTTCTGTTGGGATTTAATTTGTCTCTGACCCCACTGGGGAGATTTTCTCTTACTTCCTGTCTTTCAACAGAAGTACATGAAATGGGAAGAATGATTGCCATCAGAACAGAAAAGTAAAGACAGCAATAGCAACATTGTCAGAAGCTGTCTATCTGTTCCCTCTACAAACAAATTTTCATTTTAGTTGTGTCACTATTTAGATATTTCCTACAGCAACCAGTCTTGACTGGAAGGGAGAGAAAAACTCTAATACAAATAAAAACAATATTAATAATAATATTATTTATTATACAAAGCATTTCCCTCTATTGTGTGTGTACTTGTCTCACAAGTGTCATGACTGTCTGTTGCCTCATTCCTCTGCTATCTGCATGAGGTACTTCTGTCCTGACACCAAGAGAAAAATGGTGATGGGGAAGGCACAGCCTGTGATTGACAGCCTCAGCTCTGTTCCTGTGTGCTGTGTGAAGGGGGGGGGGTGTCCCCTTCCTCCAATCAGCTCTCAGAGCTCTCCTTCCTTATGTAACTTCAGCTCCCCGCCCCCTGCTTTTCAGAACTGAGAGTTCCTGTGTAAATTTGAGACTATGACTGGATGTAGAGAAGAGAAGACTGCAGATAAAAAAGTACATTTTATGTGGGAGGGTGTATTTAATCTATGTGCATCACCTGTGGCCAGCCACTTCACTGGGTATATGGAAGGGTTTGCAACCACTTTAATAATATATGACATATACAGAACAGTAAAGCAGACAGAATTCTGGTATTTGTGATAGGATGCAATAAGGATAGCCTAAAGGGGTACATCATTAAAATCTGGTGCCTAATCTAATTAGATTTTTGCGGGCAATAGTCCCGCTTTTATTGTATGATAGGCAAGCACTTTCTTCTCTAAGAATCTGTTATTTTCATTACACTACAAGTAATTGATGTTATATAAAATTTCATGGTATAAATGTTGAATAGTTTCCAGTGAGCGCTTCTTGCGCCGCGCTAGTAAAAACAATTTGAAAAGACACGGCTAATTTCACACTATTATAAATAAGAAAAAGATTTCTGTGTGAGGAGAGCATAATTTCAATCAATGCTGAAAATACTGAGCACATGCATACAAATGAAGGGTTTATATATTATAATTTGTAGAAGTCTACTTGGTCTAAATTGTATTGAAATTGCGTAATTTTCTACATTGGATAGCATGGAAGAAAATCAATTTTTCAGTTTAAAAACATCAACAAACATTCCCACATTACAATGAAATTGATGAATTGTGTTCATTGTAAATTAGCTACAATGATCACTCCTGGAGCTAAAGACAATGCAAATATGGACAATGTAATTAAAAGGTAGGAAGGCAGATACCTGACACAGCCAAGACTCTTCGAGTCCTAGAAGTATCTCAAGTTCTAGGATAGGCAAAGGTTTTTTGCACAGCAGAACTAGCACTGATATCAGCAGTCAGGCAAGGAAAGGCTTAGCTAGGACACATAACAATGTCCAGGTAACAGAAAGAACTACTCTTACAGTGTCCAGTGGTCCTGAATTGTGTAGACAGTAAGGGCCCGTTCACATCTTATAATGTTGAGATGGAGAAGAGCATCGGCTACCAGGAAGCGAGGAATAATAAATACTATTGCTTATTCCCATCCCCTAGGCTAAACAAAAAGTGAAGTGTGAGGGGGCAGGCCCTATTGCAAAAATACTTTTTACAGCTGACTGAAGTGTATCTTTAATATAATGATCACTCCTACAGCCCTAATCATGTAGGCATTGGTAGGGTATACAAGAATGGAAGTTTGTTCCGAAAGTAAAAAATCTCAGGCAGTCATAATGAGAAAAATCTGACACACTGTTGCAGATGCACTTGTCAGCAAGCACCAGGTGTTGGCCCCTAAAGCGGTTCATTTGCTATCTCAAGCACTGTAGTAGAAACAAGAAAAGTAGCCACACCACAGTTAAAAAGCAGTCATCACAGTTTATTAAACAATCTTGTCCACGATGGACCACCTGGAATGCAACCTCTCTCAGCCTCCTAATGCTCAGATATGAAAGCAATGATCGGCCAAGCATCATGTTTGTTGTTATAGCGTACACTCTGTGCACACGAATGTCTGACATACAGAAAACAAGAAGTGCACCGAGTTATTGAAGATAACCCACAAGCTATACTGATAGTGACTGGGTTCAGAAAAGCTGTATGATAACCCTTTGGGATTGAACATAAAGGGCCAGATGATATGCTGCTGGATGTGTGGACCATGTGTAATTATGACTGGTCTTGCGACCAACTCCATTGTAAAGACATCACAACTAGAGAACAACTATATGTCCACAATGTTCATTTATTAAGGTTAAAATGTTTAGTCCCCGGAAGTGATGTGCCGCTAGATGGAGGAGGATAAACAAAAGGAACATGTAGTGTCTTTGATCTCCAAGCAGATGCATTCTGAGGAGTAGCCTCTTTGTCAAGTCATGAACACTATGGAAGATCTAACAGTTGCATAAGCTCTCATGGTTTATACCATTTCTCCATATAGATGGAGTATGTTTTTATCTAATAATGTTAACCTTATGAAATGGACATTATAGACGTATTGTTGGTTTCTAGTATCTTTACAATGGAGTTGGTTGCAAGACCAGTCATAGTTACACATGATCAACACATCATCCTGCAGCATACATTATGGCCCTTTATGTTCAATCCGAAAGGGAAAAATAAAAATATTGTAACTCTTACCTGTATGAACCATAGGAATTCTTCTTTTTAAACAGCAGGGATTCCTGTCACCATAGTCCATGGCACAGCGTAGTCAAACAGGTGAAAATCAAGGGCTTTTCTAGCAAATCATTGTATTTTATGGCTGTAATACCTTAACAGGCTTAACCTGTAATTGGTGTTGTGGATGAAATCCCTAGCAGAAATATTTGTCAGTTGCAAAATGTAGGGTTAGGGAAAGTGATAAGGACAAAAGGTCCATAAATTTCAAATGATTGCATTTTATGGTTGTACAACACCAGATTTCAACAGACATTATTACTGTGAGTGAAATCCTTAGCATTAATCACAGTAGCTGCAGTATGATTTAATGTGAGAAGGAAAACTTTTTTTTTCTAAGTGTATACCTCAAGTAATACTGTTGCCATGTAAGAAGTAATAAAATAATCTCACCTCTTCATAATAGTTTCTCTGGCAATCTGCCATATTTAAAAATGTAGCTTTCAAGTCAGATCTCATGTTTTTTGTCCATCTCTCCCAATCGGCCTTCAAGGCATTGTTGGCGCATTCAACTTTGTCTTCGAGTTTTCCAACCTCTTCTTTCAGCTGTAATTAGACATTTATGTTATAAGCAGCTAAAATACATCCAACCTATGCATACACAATTTTAAAGAAAAGATGAATATGTAAAAAACAGCAGTGGAATGCAAGATCTGCTTTTGGTGGATGCTTGTGTTTATACAAGTAAAGAACCGGACCTGAACAGTACCCACTTATGTAGAGTTAAAGAATATATCACCTACATAAACCTCCGATTTAGTGTATAATGAAGCATCATGTGCAAAAACCTTTGAGGCGCAATAATACAACATACTACACTGATGTTGAAGTAGGATTCTGGGCACTGGAGTAGGACTACCACTGTATACCTGGGATGGGGAGAATTTCCCTCACTTCACTGGTCACCAAGACAAGATGTGATGGAAAATCTCTTCCACTGGGCAGAAACAAACAATAAAATTCAATGGGTGTTTTTGCTTCCCAAGCCATGTTGGGAAGATTCCCTTCAATACTTGACTTAATGAGAGTGGTTACCAGGAAAGAAGTGAGGGGATATTGAGACATCAATATCACCCGACACCTTTCCCTTACATGCAGATGGCAGGATGCACCAAGGATTGCATGTGCGGCCCCAGAAACTTAGGAGCACAAACTTGGTTTCGTTCCCTACCCATGAATGCGCAGTCCACTCTCTCACAGAACACTGAGCTGTGAAAGAGGGTGTATTGCACATTTGGGTAGGGCACCAAGCTGAGTGCTTGTTCCGGAGTTTCCGTGGCCACGCATCCAGTGCTCAGTACATCCATCAACGGGACAGAGAGACGAGGACAATTTAAAGACCATCTGAAAAAGCAAACATTCTTTTACAAAATGGAGCACAACTTGTCACTGTTTTTGGAAAAAGTAAGCAAAAATGAACTAAATGTTTAAAATTGTGGGCAGATTTAAAAACCCCAATATTCATTTTTTATTTCATTTTTAATTTATTATCATAAAATCCTGAAATAAAACCTAGTGTAAAAGCTGGAATCTAACGTGCTTTTAGCCTCTTGAAATTACAGCAGCATGCAGATTGGGAGTGAGAAGGGCAGCACTTGGGGACAATCAGGTATTCTGCATGCACACATGCTGACGAGAACACAAGCAAATTCTGAAATCTAAAATTAACATCTTGAATCTGCTTTCAGCCTTATGCCATTAAATCAGTATGAAGATAGGGAGAGGGAGGGCCAATCTAGTTTTCTGCATGCACATATGTTTTTTTCTGGTTCTTTATATTCCAATCACAAGATGCAAGCAGAAAGGGGCAGTAAACAAAAGTCAAATTCCTATCCTGTTTATGCTGTTTGGATAGGTTGCATAAACCCGGGATTGCTCTGTAACCAGGCAACCTGAGAATTTTAACTTAGGAGGTCCCTCTTTGGTTGCATGGAGAGTGGCAGCGAGAGCAGCATGTTGGTTTTGCTCTTTATGCAGTACTCATGTCTGCTGCGGCTGCTCCATTCAATTGCACAGTTGAGCGCCTTACTTTCTGCTTGTGTATATAAAATCTCAGGTTATCAGAGTCTGTCACCCTCAGACTGGAAGACTGTGTGCATGTTCACCTCACCAACACGCTGTCCAAGGCTGTGAGATATTTAATGACCGTTAGTAGGCAGGTCCAGGCCAACCAGTTTGTCCCTGGTTGCTGTTCTGGGTGTGCAATGTGTTCACTTACTGCCTTACTAGAAGGGCTAAGTCAGAAAACCAAGTGCAAGAATCAAGTAACAGCTGGTTGCATGCACAAAAAGTACCAAAGACTGTGACTCACTTTCAGCAAGACACAGCTTAATAAAGTGTCTGTGGTTCTGGAGGTGAGCAGTGTAGGAAGATGGTGGAAGGCGATGTAAAGGTAGGCAGTACTGGATATGGGTAGCAGGAGATGTAGAGGTAAGCATAGTTGGAAGAGGGTGGCCGGGGACGCAGAAGTGAGCAGTGTTGGAAAAGGGTGGCGAGGGGTATGGAGATTAGCAATGTTGGAAAAGGGTGGCAGAAGATGCAAAGGGTGATGGGATGCAGAGGTGAGCAGTGTTGAAAGAGGGTGAGAGGCAATGCAGAGGTGAGCAGCGATGAAAGAGGGCGACGAGATGCAAAGGTGAGCAGTGTTGAAAGAGGATAAGGGGATGCAGAGGTTAGCAGTGTTGAAAGAGGATGAGAGGCAATGCAGAGGTGAGCAGTGATGAAAGAGGGTGACAGGATGCAGAGGTGAGCAGTGATGAAAGAGGGTGACAGGATGCAGAGGTGAGCAGTATTGGAAGATGACAGGGGGCCAGGGAGTGCAGAGGTGAGCAGTGTTGGAAGAGGGTGGTAGGGAACGCAGAGGTGAGCAGTGTTGGAAGAGGGTGGCAGGGGACGCAGAGGTGAGCAGTGTTGGAAGAGGGTGGTAGGGGACGCAGAGGTGAACAGTATTGGAAGAGGGTGAGGGGAGGCAGAGGTGAGCAGTATTGGAAGAGGGTGAGGGGAGGCAGAGATGATCAGTATTGGAAGAGGGTGAGGGGAGGCAGAGGTGAGCAGTATTGGAAGAGGGTGAGGGGAGGCAGAGATGATCAGTATTGGAAGAGGGTGAGGGGAGGCAGAGGTGAGCAGTATTGGAAGAGGGTGAGGGGAGGCAGAGGTGAGCAGTATTGGAAGAGGGTGAGGGGAGGCAGAGGTGAGCAGTATTGGAAGAGGATGAGGTGAGGCAGAGGTGAGCAGTATTGGAAGAGGGTGAGGTGAGGCAGAGGTGAGTAGTACTGGAAGAGGATGAGGTGAGGCAGAGGTGAGCAGTGTTGAAAGAGGGCGACGGGATGCAGAGGTAAGCAGTATTGAAAGTGGATGGTGGGAGACGCAGACATGAGCAGTGTTGGAACAGGGTGGCAGAGCATGCAGAGATGAACAGAGTTGGAAGACGGTGGAGGGAGATGCTTGGTTGAGCAGTGTTGGAAGAGGGTGGTGGGAGACGCAGATATGACCACCTGGCAGATGATGGCAGGAGGCCAGGGGATGCAGAGTTGAGCAGTGTTGGAAGAGGGTGGCAGGGGATGCAGAGATGAGCAGTGTTGGAAGAGGGAGACAGGGGATGCAGAGATGAGCAGTGTTGGAAGAGGGAGACATCGGTGAGCAGTGTTGGAAGAGGATGGCAGAGGATGTAGAGGTGAGCAGTGTTGAAAGAGTGTGACGAGATGCAGAGGTGAGCAGTGTTGAAAGAGGGTGAGGGGATGCAGAGGTCAGCAGTGTTGAAAGAAGGTGAGGGGATTCAGAGGTGAGCAGTGTTGAAAGAGGGTGAGGGGGTGCAGAGGTGAGCAGTGTTGAAAGAGAGTGAGGGGATGCAGAGGTGAGCAGTGTTGAAAGAGAGTGAGGGGATGCAGAGGTGAGCAGTGTTGAAAGAGAGTGAGGGGATGCAGAGGTGAGCAGTGTTGAAAGAGAGTGAGGGGATGCAGAGGTGAGCAGTGTTGAAAGAGAGTGAGGGGATGCAGAGGTGAGCAGTGTTGAAAGAGAGTGAGGGGATGCAGAGGTGAGCAGTGTTGAAAGAGAGTGAGGGGATGCAGAGGTGAGCAGTGTTGAAAGAGAGTGAGGGGATGCAGAGGTGAGCAGTGTTGAAAGAGAGTGAGGGGATGCAGAGGTGAGCAGTGTTGAAAGAGAGTGAGGGGATGCAGAGGTGAGCAGTGTTGAAAGAGAGTGAGGGGATGCAGAGGTGAGCAGTGTTGAAAGAGAGTGAGGGGATGCAGAGGTGAGCAGTGTTGAAAGAGAGTGAGGGGATGCAGAGGTGAGCAGTGTTGAAAGTGGGTGAGGGGGTGCAGAGGTGAGCAGTGTTGAAAGAGGGTGAGGGGATGCAGAAGCCAGCAGTGTTAGAAGATGTTAGGGGGTGCAGGGGTGAGTTGGGAGGTGCAAGCTCAAGGTGTCTTAGAAGCTGGGTTTGGGAGGCATCAGTGTACCCTCTCTACTTGCAGCTTAGAAGCAGTCGCACAGACTACAGGAAAAGCACAGACTGGAGGAATCAGTGGCAGCATAGGTTTGTAGAGGAGACCGGCACCGAATGACACACAAATAGCACTGTTAAGTAATCTGCAGCTGAACAGATGTGTCACCTGTCTATTGACTGCTATGTATGTCTACTGATCCACCTTGAAATCACTTTGCCCCATGCCCTGCTTTAAACAGACTGTACAGACTAAAAGTTACAGTTAGTTACATAAATAATTTTACTCATGAACAAGATCTTTTTACCGGCTTTTCTCCTTATCATAAATCTTCCATCATATACAGCATTTTATTTTTTGCTGCATACTGAATAAATGCCCTTAGTAATGTCTGCTGCAGGGGATGCCATTGCACACTTGCCATAGACAGCAAAAAGACTAGGGACACTCCTGCATAAATCTCAGAACTGGCACAAGCTCCAATAGATGCATTTCAATGGTGCATATAGCCGTATATCTGGAGTTTATATACATTTTTGATATATCATAAAATAATAATTTGAATGTTCCAAATGACATCTGATAACATGCTTAGGTTTTTTATTCAGCCTAAACAAGAGCAATGCACAAATGTGGTAAAGTAGCTACTATACGCATTTCTACAATTCCTCACTCTGCCACTGATGAATGCCATCTGTGTTCTTGTCTACAAAAAATAAAAAGCAATAAAATAAATACACAAAAATCTTCAAGCCATTGGACATCCCTTGGGTGAAAAAGAACCTGAAAATGATACACAGATTGTGTTTTCTGCATATGAAGTTGGCACAGAATAAAACCATGCATATTATGCTGGCATCTGCAATTGTTTTGTAATTGGCCAGATTGAATGATCATGTTTTGATATACAGATTGTTTTTTCCTAAGAGATAGATGTTAGCAAAGTGATTGTTTAACATAAAGACCCCAAATTCAAATATGAAAACGTCTATCTTGGTAGGGTTTTGTTAGATTTGATCTCAACAGCATATTGGAGAAAATGATCGTCATGGAGCTTAAGGAAATATACTGTGGCAGATCTAAATTAATAATACAGGAAAAATGTCC